ACAGTACTTCTCTTCCCTGTGGCAAGTGCACAGCCAAGACTCTTAAGGAAACACAATGAATAGGAAAAGGCTTCTTTCTTATTGCCAATTGCTCCCCTATTGACTCCCATGCCTAAAGGCAGCTTCTTCTTCTCCACTAGCTCTTTTGTAGCAGCCAGGAAGGCAGTCTACGCAGCTCTTCATGTTCTAAACATTTGCTTTGTAAACATGCATGAGTTGTTGTTTTTTATGTACCAAGGAGAAGATGTGGAAGCATCTGGAACCAGAAGGCAGAAGTCAACTGTTTACAGAGCTGCCGTTCATGACTCTGGTTTCTTTGGGATAGACCCACACCCTACTTACAAGCCAATAAAAGCCGCACAGGTCAACTAGAAGCTCCATGAAGACACAGACCTTGGAACATTTAGGCCATCCTATGCACTGAAGGGACGCGGGTGGCGCTGTGGGTAAAAGCCTCAGCGCCTAGGGCTTGCCGATCGAAAGGTCGGCGGTTCGAATCCCCGCGGCGGGGTGCACTCCCGTTGTTCGGTCCCAGCGCCTGCCAACCTAGCAGTTCGAAAGCACTCCCGGGTGCAAGTAGATAAATAGGGACCGCTTACTAGCGGGAAGGTAAACGGCGTTTCCGTGTGCGGCTCTGGCTCGCCAGAGCAGCGATGTCACGCTGGCCACGTGACCCGGAAGTGTCTCCGGACAGCGCTGGCCCCCGGCCTCTTGAGTGAGATGGGCGCACAACCCTAGAGTCTGTCAAGACTGGCCCGTACGGGCAGGGGTACCTTTACCTTTTTTTATGCACTGAAGAGATAGTAAAATAAAATTTAAAAATCCAACTTTCTACTACCTTGAAATCTGGAACCAGTCTCTTATTTGAGGCTCAAAGAAATCCCACAGATATGGGTCTCTGTTCAGATAATGAGTCTTGATCCAGTCTTTTCTAACAATGATGCATTACCTTGCTTCATATATTACATGGGTAGGCAAACTAAGGCCCGTGGGCCTGATGCGGCCCAATCACCTTCTAAATCCGGCCCACGGACGGTCCAGGAATCAGCGTGTTTTTACATGAGTAAAATGTGTCCTTTTATTTAAAATGCATATCTGGGTTATTTGTGGGGCATAGGAATTCGTTCATATTTTTTTCAAAATATAGTCTGGCCCACCACAAGGTCTGAGGGACAGTGGACCGGCCCCGTGTTGAAAAAGTTTGCTGACCCCTGATTACCTTGCCATCAAAGTCCAACAGGTGAGATGGGAGTCCAAGTGTATTGTGCCAACAATCTCAGATATATTCAAGTGAATAATGGGGGATTACCAGAATTCCAACATGACTGTATTTTCCATCTGAAAATAGCATTGGGGAAAGGAAAACTTAGGGGAAACACTGCACGAAAACAACAACACAGCACCATTTTTCATGGATAAATCAGACAACTTTTAATTCATTTCCAAATACTTGGTGAGATTATTAGCTTCACATACGGCAATATCACACCAGGATCAACTGAGCCACTCTGTTCTTGACAATACTGTTACTTCATTTGTCACAAAATAAACACTGTACGGTAAAAACCTATGCTCCTGAGTATACCTTGGTTGGGCTGATATTAAATAATTCCACATTTACTCTAGAAACAGAGGAAGTTGTCTTATACTGAGGCTGGATCTAGACATGTCAAAGAAGCGATTCAGTTAAACGCGTTGCAAACTCATACAGGGGAATCTGAAGGGAAAGATGGGCCTCCACAGTGCCATCTGGTGTCACAGGGTTATATAACACTTTTTCTTTACCAATCTAGCTGAGTCCAGAGTCAGCTTTCATCCATCTTACTCAGTAGATGGCAGTGAATCTCCTGGCAGCCCTACTTGGACCTATCCTGGGGAAAACATGTGCTATACCATGGGCAGGCAAACTAAGGCCCGTGGGCCTGATGCAGCCCAATCACCTTCTAAATTCGGCCCGCGGACAGTCCGGGAGTCAGCATGTTTTTACATGAGTAGAATGTGTCCTTTTATTTAAAATGCATCTCTGGGTTATTTGTGGGGCATAGGAATTTGTTCATTTCCCCTCCTCCAAAATATAGTCCGACCCCCCACAAGGTCTGAGGGACAGTGGACTGGCCCTCTGCTGAAAAGGTTTGCTGACCCCTGTGCTATACCATGGAGCCATGACTCTTTATTCCCCTCAATCTTAGATGCTATAAATGATCTGCCCATGTCCCCCATTCCAGATGTTAAAACTGAAAATGAATGCATGTCTTTTCATAAGTGCCACAATTCAGGAGACGGTTACATCACTTGGTTTCCTTTGCCATTACGCAATAAGCCAAAGAAAAGTGGAATCAAAATGGTGAAACTGTTGTAGAACCTAAGTTCCCGAATAGAGGTGTGCGTGTTCGTGCGCATGTCATTCATGTAATCTGAAAACTAAACCAGACCAAACAAAGAATGTCTCAAATGTTAATGGTCCAGGTTAGATTTCAGGACCATGTGTGGTGTAGGGAGCCAGTGTGGTGTAGTGGTTAAGAGCGGTAGACTCGTAATCTGGTGAACCGGGTTCGCGTCTCCGCTCCTCCACATGCAGCTGCTGGGTGACCTTGGGCTAGTCACACTTCTCTGAAGTCTCTCAGCCCCACTCACCTCACAGAGTGTTTGATGTGGGGGAGGAAGGGAAAGGAGAATTTTAGCCGCTTTGAGACTCCTTAAGGGGAGTGATAAAGCAGGATATCAAATCCTCCTTCTCCTCCTTCACTTTATATGCAGCAACTCCCACCTTCACTTCCTTGTTCACAGTAACTGTACTTTGGCATGACCTTGAAACTACTTTGTGTTTTGTGAACTGCTCTGAGATATTGTGACAAAGGGGCAGCCTACAAAAACCAATAAATAAATAAATATAAAATAAATAAACTAGGTTAACTGGGGTCATCACAGACCACAGCTGACCTTCAAACCAGAACCCAGTTCAAACCTTGCTTTCTAATTAGGGTTAGCGGTAATCACAGTTACTGCAAACCAGGAAACATAAGAGGGAATGGCTGTGGGCGGAGGGAGGAGCAAGGTGGGGCAAACAGCATTCAAGCAGGCCTGGGGCTCAGGAGCCGAATGCTGAACAGACAGACAAAAGGATATGGGGTGTAGGAGAGTACAAAGTATAAATTTGCATTCATTGCTCCTCCTACTTGTGCCTCTCAGGTTGAAAAAGATGCCCTCCCCCTGATGTATAATACCTTAGTAGACTGGACACATATTCTGTTTCAAGTAAGGATGAGCTTGGGGGGAAATAACATCTCACACAGGCGAGAAACAATGGAAGGGAAGGGAAATCCCTCACAGGTATTGAGGTGACTGCGTTTCTTGGTTCTTATGGAACAACTCCATCTGTTAGTTACTAATTCACAGCTGGAACCAGTGTGGGGAAGTGGTCAGTGTGTCAGACTAGGGCCTGGACCAGTCCCTGCCTACCTTAGGGGCTGTTGTGGGGATTAAACGAGTAGAGGGGAAGTACCATGAGCTCTTATAAATGAAAAAAAGTCTGTCTCGTGGCAATTGCATTGTTACCAAGGGCCACTAGAGGGAGCCGATGCTCCTCCAATACAATAACTCGATAATAACTTGTGGCTAAAAAGGTAAAGGTACCCCTGCCCGTATGGGCCAGTCTTGACAGACTCTAGGGTTGTGCGCCCATCTCACTCAAGAGGCCGGGGGCCAGCGCTGTCCGGAGACACTTCCGGGTCACGTGGCCAGCGTGACATTGCTGCTCTGGCGAGCCAGAGCCGCACACGGAAACGCCGTTTACCTTCCTGCTAGTAAGCGGTCCCTATTTATCTACTTGCACCCGGGGGTGCTTTCGAACTGCTAGGTTGGCAGGCGCTGGGACCGAACAACGGGAGCGCACCCCGCTGCGGGGATTCGAACCGGCTAGATTGACTTAATTCAGAAACATAGAATTGAGGAGTTGATAGGGACACTGAGGGTCATCTAGTCCAACCCCCTCAATGCAGAAATCTCAACTAAAGCATCCATGACAGGTGGATATAAAACCGCTGCTTAAAAACCTGCAATGAAGGAGAGCCCACCGCCTTCCAATGTGGTCTGTTCCACTGTCAACAGCTCTTATTATCTTCCGCTAGACCAGTGGTTCCCAACCTTTTGGCCATGCCCCACCTAAGCATCTCTAAAATCCTGATTCGACCCCCCCCCCCGTGACATATAATTCTTATTATTCAAAAAGTGAAGCCCTATTCACGTGGAGAAAGCCTAAAAGGCTATTAACGATTAATAACTCATTTTTGAATTGCCCCTCTTAAAAATCAAATTGGGAACCATGTCCCTAGACCCTCCATTTTTATTTTTTGCTTTTGTTAGATAAGGAAACAAGGAAACTATTGATGTTTGTGTCAGCAAGCTTTTGGGTCAGGCCTCCTTGCAGAACGCTGTACTGCCATGCTGTGTATGCATTCCTAGCCACAGACACCAACAGCATTAGTACAAGTTGAGGCCAGTGGTTGTGCAACTCAGTCACCACAATTGACCACTGGCCGCATACAAGCCACTAAAACTTTTGAACAGGACATAACCAAAGGCATTTTTCACTGTCTTTGAGCAAAGTTTCGGTAAAAAGCAAGTGGCAATTACTTACATACTTATTTTTACATTTATATACCACTTTTTTCTTCCAAGTAGCTCAAGGTGGTGTGACATGGTTCTCCTCCTCCCTGTTTCATCCTCACAACCACCCTGTGAGGTAGGTTAGGCTAAGAGATGGTGGCTAGCCTAGTGAGCTTCCCGGCTGAGTGGGGATCCAAACTCTGGTCTCCCAGGTCATAGGTCCAACACTCTAACCATTACACCATACTGGCTCCATACAGGAATGGAATCCAGAATTTGGCCTGCCTTCGACTTCTTGCGCGTGCAAATGAGTTTGACACACCAAGGAGACTTTTCCCCACTACCACACTTCTCTGTCTTCAAGAAATAAATAAATCCAGGAGGCATTTAACGGATTAGCAGCACAACATTATGAAAAGAGATTTATGAAAGGGCAAAGTCACGTTACAACCATCTGCCTAGGCTGACTTGCCTGATAGCTAGTGGCTACTCCAAGGTGCTGGGATGTGCAGGCCTCACTGACAGCAGAGTGTGTTTCAGATGCTAATATTGTGTGCTTATTGAGGAAAGCCAGGAGGGGAGGGAGCCACCTGAATTTGGGCAATAAATAAGACGACGTAAATTTTGCCGCTGGCTAGCAAGAAGCAGCCTTGGGAAAGCTACAAAGGTAACCTATTGTTTTAAAGAGCTTCAAAAGTGTAGCGCTATCTATCTGCCGCCGCCACCCTGGCCTGCTTGTGAATTTGTAAACAAACCCCATAAAAAGCCTGTTAAGTCCTCAGACCTCTTGCCGTGCATGAGAACCAACTCTGTGGAAGACTGCCCTTGAAACGTCCTGCCACTCTGAGGAAGTGGGAAGCACAAAAATGGTATACGAGAAGCATGTAGTTTTTGCAGCCAAAGCGGAATAAATACTGTCTCCTAAGTGGCCACCCTATGCTTAGGGGAACTGCCTGCACATAAGCTGAGGAGCGTTTTAGTCATACTTGCATATTCAACCAGAAACCCAAGGAAGCAGAATAGGAATATCATTCCTCTCACCACATTGAAAAAAAGACTCTCCTATTGTGTAATTGCAGGTCAAACTAGTCCCCTAGTCTGAAAGGTTTGGCCAAACATTCTTTAAGAGTAAGCTGTGGTTTTGATTTGAGGCAAACTATGGAGTATTGACAAAGCACATCTAACTGGGAGTCTCAGCTGATGGGACGGGGCAGCTGGCAGAAAAGTCATAACATGCTTGGCAAAATGGCTCCTCTCCCCTCAGGAATGGTGGCAAACCACAACCTCCACCAATGGAGAGTGTTCTAGTCACCGCCCATCATTCCCTCAGAAAGAGCGCACTGCAAGCGGGCATCTCAATTCCGCCTCCTCATCGCAACAATTTGGTTTTTGGCCGAGTGGAATGGTGGCAAGCTGAGTTCGGACTCTCCCTCCCAAGAGAAGGAGCAAAAGTTCACTTTTTGTTGCCTGAGGAGGAGCTCTGGCGCGATATCATGATCTGATAGATGGTCTCCCGGAAGTGCTGGTCCTGAGTCAGCCTCTTGGCCGCTTGCTTCAGGTCTTCTATGCTCTCAGCCTCCGAATACATGAACGACTGGGACTGCCGCACTGAAATGAAAACACCACACAACACTTAGTGCCGGGAGAGAGCCACACCAGGCGAGGAATGGGGATGTTGAATCTGGAAGCTAATTATGATCAAGTTCGACCTAGGTGGTGTTTAGCAGAAATGACTGAGGGCTCGTCCACACAACTGCTCGTCCTGCCACTTTTCCCGGGGTAAACCTGCTGTTTACTGCTTGAATCAGAACAAACATCAATCGGTTTTTCTGAAGACTGGCAAATTTGTTCCAATTCATTTGTAAGCAGTGGGTTTTCATGGGACACACGAAAAACTGCTTCAGACACATGCCTAGGAAGCCCGAAGACAAGCAGAAAGCCTCTTGGACTGATGCTTTCTAGGCAAGGGACAAGCGGAAGTGTGGCCTTGAGACCTCATTGTATGCATATAATTCAGTGCAAAGGCCAAAGAAGAAAAGGCCAACTCACTCAGCCACAGGGGCTCACAGGCCCATCAGAGCCAGAAGCGTGATGTGTACGTCACAGAGCATGCAAGGGAAAGGGTGTCAGAGCTGGTCTTAGCAAACTGCACCCAAGTGTGGCAAGGCAGGGTTCCTGCAAAACCTGCACTTGGCACCCCACAACGCAATCCCACAGGCCATAGGAGAATATGGGGAATAGCACCTACAGTCAAGCCAGGAGTTGCTGGATCTCCTGCGATGGAAACGGCAGCCTTTTTATCCTGCGAGTGGCCGCCTTGTGGAGGTACACAGAGTTCTTCATGATCACGGGCATCTTGGCTTCCAATTCAGCGTTTCGGATGCACTCTTCAAAGAATTCTGCAGGGAAGAGACACCCAAGGGAGCCAGTTAAGATGTGCCTTAGGCAGCCTCAGTTCAGGCAGATGTAGCATTTTGGAAAATCTCCTTGAGGAGATTCAATTCCGGCTGACGAGGATCAAAAGTAGGTTTCTGCTTTCAGTTGTTCATCTGGATTTTGGGGTGATGGCACCGGACGTGTTGGGGAAGGCAAGATAAAATTATGGCTCGCTTACTTTCAGATTGCTGACGTCGGCTTTCATTTTTTCTCCTTCTCTTTGTTACGGTGCTTGCAGTTCAGCCTTGCTCCAGGCTCTGCAGGGCCTCCTCAGCCTCCTGTAAACGCTTCTCCAGGTCCATGCGAACCTTCACCTCTGCCTGAGCAGGAAGGAAATCAGGCCAGCCCTCAACCAAACAATAAAAATAACCACGGAAAGAAACAAAACACCAAAAGACAAAACGTAAGCAAGGACTTCCTTCCTTCCTTCCTTCCTTCCTTCCTTTCCTTCCTTCCTTCCTTTTGCGCTCTCTCTCTCTCTCTCTCTCTCTTTCCTTGTTTCTTCTAAGGCACATTCGGGAACTTGTATGCTGTGACCTAATTCAGGCATAATTTATTTAATTATGGTATGGATTGTATCTACAGTGGTACCTCGAGTTAAGTACTATTTGTTCCGGAGGTCCATTTCTTAACCTGAACTGTTCTTAACCTGAAGCACCACTTTAGCTAATGGGGCCTCCTGCCTTAAGTTCTTAACCCGAGGTAATATTTCTGGTTAGAGAGTCTGTAACTGAAATGTATGTAACCTGAAGAGTATGTAACCCGAGGTACCACTGTATATAAGTTGTTCATCTACGGTATCTATTTAAAAGATGTTTTTGGGTCATGCCAGTCAACATTCTGTGTGAAAGTACTGGGAGGAACACAATTGTGTGAGACCTTTGAGGAAAGAGGAGTGTCCCTCATAACGTTTGGTGCCTTGGGGTGGGTTACTTGGCTCCCAATGTATACCTTTCCTTTATAATGCTATTATTGTGAAGTTCATGCGTTATGTGTGTAGGAATAGGCCATATAACTTTTTGAACAAGGAATATACCTTCAGCTGTTGGCAAGAGAGAGCGAAAGATAATGAAATTGTTTGCTGAGCCTAAAGCAGAGGCCAAATTGGTGTACAACTCTATGCTATCAGTAGGGATGGGTGAATCAGTCAATTTCAGATTATCTCAGTTTCTCATTTTCCCATCTTAGTTCAGTTATGCAGATTTCCACATTAGCTTGTGATTATATATATATTCACAACAGCTCCTCATGAACATTTATTCAGCATTTAAGTACAAATTTCTGCCAATATAAGGTTTGTATACAATTTTGTCCAATATAGGCATATTTGCAAAGCATTCCCCCAAATATATGCATTTTTAATGTTATTTTCACTAATATATGCATTTTACTTTGGCTCCAATATATGCATTTTTACTTGGATTGCAAACATTCAGGGAAGTGTAGCTTCTCTGAAGGCTCACAGGATGGCTGTGTTTCCAGTTCTCGTATGGTTTGGGAAAGGGCAAATTAGGGTAGAGTCCCCCTTTAATTGCAAGCTGAATCAGATTGAACTGAATCCCCCAGCTATCAGTACCTTGAGATCTCGCTCCGGTTTGCTGCTTCTCAGCGGTCAGCTTCCAGAGAGCGAATTCTGCAAGGCCTGTGCTGGGAAGAGTAGAAATCCCTCTCTTCCTCTAAGCTCCGGAGCGGTTCTTCATTCTCCTTCATCCTGCAAAAGCAGCACCAGAGACACATTCAGCCGTTGTCCCCATTCCTCTGCCTCTTTTGTGTTTCTAGAGTTGCCAGGTTGCAACCCACAGACTGACTCTATACCTTCAAATCCTTCCACGCGCCAGAAGTGGCTCCTCTTTGGCCCATTCCCTCCTCTGCCCCTATTTTCCCACTCCCTCTCCTGCCCGTGGGATGACACAAGATGGCGGGAGCCACAGAGTCAAGGGAGGAATGGATACAAAAAGCCACAGATGCCAAGCCGCCCTCTTCTTTCAACCATCAATCAGGTTGCGAACAGGGAATCCTGCCTGTTTGGAAGACTCTCCTTCCCCCCCCACCTCACCTTTTCTCAGCCAGGAGTTTCTCCTCCAGCAGCTGGTGCATTTTCTCCTCGATCTGGTGCAAGCTGCTCTGCAGACCCCCGGCAGCATCAGATTGCTCACAGCTAGGGCTGGTTGGGGGCTGCAACTCGCTCTGGTTCTCTTCCAGCATTTCCAGAGTCCGTTGCTTTTCCAGGGAGAGCGCCTTCAAGCCACACAAACAGGTTGGATCGGTTACCCCTTACAATAATTCAAACTAACTTTCTGTTCACATAGGGGGCTCGTCCACACTTCCTCTTTCCCGGCCACTCTACCCTGGGGAAACCTGCTCTTTACCGCTGAATCGGGGCAAACATCAATTGGGTTTTCCATGGATTGACATTTTCTCTGATTCAGCAGGAAAGAGCAGGTTTTCCTGGGGAAAGTGGCAGGGCATATGGAAAACCACTTGGACCTGTGTCTAAAAA